TTAAGGGCCTCTGGTTAGAGCAGGGGGTTGGACTAGTAGACTTCCAAGTTCTCTTCCAACTCTTATTCACATTCTGTATTTTACTTTCCTTCATAATAAACAGTAGAAGAGTATAATCACTGAGAAGTAGGCTTGAAAACTTACACTGTTGACCATCCTCCTAACATCTCCCCCACCCCTGTCCTGTTGATGAATATCTGTTGCTAAAGAAGACAGTTGTTAAGTGTCTTTTGCCCAATTCTGCAGCCTTTCTTGCTGCAGTTGTTAAACGAATCCTCAAGGTTGTTCAGTTAGTAACATGGTTGTTAAGTGAATCCGGCTTCCCCATTGACTTTGCTTGTCAGAAGGTCACAAAAGGAGATCACATAACTCCGGGACGTTGCAATCGTCATAAGTACATGCTGGTTGCCAAGGATCCAAATTTTGATCATGTGACCATGGATTTGCTTGTAATTGTGGAAAATGGTCATAAGTCACTTTTTTTCAGGCTGTGGTTAACTTCAAATGGTCATCAAATGAATAGAGTGGAACCATGATGGCGAACCTATGGCACGCAGGTGGCACGCAAAGGCCATTTGTGCAGGCACACGAGTCCCAACCAAACTTACCTGCACTGCACATGTGTGCTCCTCATAGCTGATTTTTGGCCCGTTTGAGACAGTTTTCGGCCTTCCGGAGGCTCAAGAGAATCCTCTGTAGTCTCGGGAGGCTGAAAAACAGGTCTTCTGGAAATACCGGAAGTGCCAAAACGGGCCTATTTTCAGCCTCCCAAGGCTCCAGAGGCCCTCCGGAGGCTGATAATGGGCACTTCCGCTATTTCCAGAAGGCCTGCTTTTCGGCCTCCCAAGGCTGCTGAGGCTTCCCTTGAGCCAAAAACAGCCTCAAACGGGCCAAAAATCAGCTGGGACGCCAATGCAGGTAAGGGGGCAGGCGGGGGTGTTGTGCACATGCTCCGGGGGGCAGGCACATTGCATTGTGGGTGCTGCCGCGTGGTCTTTTGGCACACCACAACAAAAAGGTTCACCATCACTGAAATAGACTAAAATTTTATTGTCACTTTAAAAGTAGAATAATCAGCATACATTAAAATGAAATTTCGTTGCATTCAGCTTTCAAAAGATATCCATTATGCACATACCTCCCCCCACCACATATATGACATAGATATACATGGTCACATGTTGAGGATTACCTGTAAACAAATAAGGCAAAACTAATTGTCTATGGAGATTCTCCGTCATCCAGGTTGTGGTTGTTCCAAAGGTGCTTTTTCAAGAGATTGAAGAAGCTTCTTGGATGAGAAGTGAAACGTCTTCGAAGAAAAACCAGAAAGTCCAGTTCCCTCTTGAAAAAACACCTTTGGGACAAATAAGGTGAAATTTTCAACAGCTGTAATTAGCTTCCTGTAACAAAGAGTATGGAGCTCTGTCCCAAGGAGAGTCAGACCTTTGCAGTGTATCTACTGTTATAACATTCATCAGACCAGGTTTGAAATAATCTGCATAAATTGTTCTAATCGTACAAGGACTAGAACATCCTGCATTAGAACATCCTCAGAGGATGATGAGTATTTTTGGGTTGTGGAAGTCGTGCGTGTTGACCCGCTGAGTTTTGTACTGAGCCTCTCAAGGTTGCCTGGCACTGCCTGCCTGCTGTGTCTTGGAATGTGTTCTCCTAAGTTGTCATTTTTTTAAAAAAATGGATGGGATATTTGGCTGACATTTTTTGTCTTTGGAAGCAAACTCTGAGTTTCTCCAACAGTGGAATAATTAAGGCCTGATGCCAGCTCTCTAGCTGAGGTCTTCTCAAATCTCAGCAACTTTTAAAATGCCTAGACTTTGTTAGGAATATAAGTCACCTAACAGGTATATTTGGGTTAGAAATATATAAACCAGGATAAACATTTTAGTACAATATCTTTAAGGGAATGCAAGAGCATGCAATGGGTGTGGTTTCTCAAACAGCCATAAGATGGAGCCAGAAACCTGGGTTGTTTAGTCTTAGTCTCAGAAGAGAGTGTGTCTGAGTGAGTATCTCTGTATCCTTCTGTTGGAAAGTATTGCCGTTCCTCCATTTCTTCTAATTGACTGATATTACTGGATTTAATGTAAGTCTGATACTGAACTGTTTTTGACACTGGAATTTGATATTTGGATTATCCCTAGATTGAAAAACTGACTGATTTACCTGTGAATGACTTTTGGACTGATTATTTTGGACTTTGCTTAAACCTTTCTGGAAGTAAAAACCTACATTTACTGTACAGTGTATCTGTGTACTATGTGTGTATTATTCAAACACTTCTCTCAAATACGTCTCCCTGTATGCACTCATTCTCCTAACGGGGAATTACCTCAACAGACTTCAACTCCCAGAATTAGCCAGCCAGCATGGAGTTGAAGTCCCATTGAGGCCTTTGAACTATGGTGCTGGAGAAGATGCAAGCCAATCAAACCAGTCAGTCCTAGAGGAGATCCACCCTGACTGCTCTTTAGAAGGCCAGATCCTGAAGATGAAACTCAAATACTTTGGCCACCTAATGAGAAGGAAGGACTCCCTGGAGAAGAGCCTCATGCTGGGAACGATTGAGGGCAAAAGAAGAAGAAGGGGACGACAGAGAATGAGGTGGCTGGATGGAGTCACTGAGGCAGTAGGAATGAGCTTAAATGGACTCCAGAAGATGGTAGAGGACAGGAAGGTCTGGAGGAACGTTGTCCATGGGGTTGCGATGGGTTGGACATGACTTCACGACCACCAACAACAACATCCTAAGGTCCACACATGAAGTCCACACATACTAAGGTGGCTGAGGTTGTTGGGAGAAACCCTGAGCTAGCTTTCTTTCTGATCAATTGGATGATGCCTGTAAGTTGGCAGTCTCTTCCCTGGGCAGGTCGTTGATCCTTCATTGGCTTCTTTTGCAAATAGGAATCTAATTGGTTCGATAGGTGCAACCTTCTGGTATTATTGATTGGCCTTTTGAAGGAACCTCTCAGGAAGTTTGTAACTGGTGAGATTATTAATCTGGAGCTGAAATGAGCTCGAAACTTCCCCCTTCCTGAAGACATCTGCTGAAGGAGATGGGGAATGCAATTGCATTCTCCTCAACTTTGTTATCCCACACCCTTTGCCAGGTGGGTGATGAATGCATCGCTCCCAGCTCTTGAGAAATTTCCTAGCTCCTAGAGAATGGGCCAAGTAGTCCATTTTACCGAAAATAACAGATAACAGATCATCAGAGTTGGAAGGGACCTTGTAGGTTATCTAGTCCAACCCCTCGCCCAAGCGGGAGACTCTATATCATTTCTGACAAATGGCAGTCCAATCTCTTCTTGAAAGTCTCAAGTGTTGACACTCCTACAACTTCTGGGAGCAACTTCTGTTCCATTGGTTGATTGTTCTCACTGTCAGAAAGTTTCTCCTTATTTCCACGTTGAATCTCTCCTTGTTCAGTTTCCATCCATTATTCCTTGTCTGGCCTTTGGGTGCTTTAGAAAATAGATAGAACCCCTTCCTCTCTATGCCAGCCCCTCAAATATTGGAAGACTGCTATCATGTCTCCCTGGTCCTTCTCTTCACTAGACTAGCGAAGCCAAGTTACTCCAACCATTCATTGTATGTTTTAGTCTCCAGTCCCCGAATCATCCTGGTTGTTCTTCTCTCTACTTTTTCTAGAGTCTCAACATCTTTTTTATAATGTGGTGAACAAAGCTGGATGCAATACTCTAGGTGTGGTCTTACTAAGGCTTTATAGAGTAGTATTAGTACCTCCCTTGATTTTGATTGTATCCCTCTGTTAATGCAACTTAGGATTGTATTAGCTTTTTTGGCTGCTGCTGCACACTGCTGGTTCATATTTAGCTGGTTGTCCACTAAGACTCCAAGATCCCTCTCATAGTTACTGCTATTGAGCCTGGTTTCACCCAGTCTGTATGTGTACTTTTGGTTTTTCTTGCCTAAGTGTAGGACTTTACTTTTCTCTATATTGAATTTCATTTTGTTAGATCATACAGCCCAGTGTTCTAGTCTGTCAAGATCCATCTGGATCTTGAGCCTATCTTCTTGGGTGTTAGCTATTCCTGCCAGCTTAGTATCATCTGCAAATTTGGTAAGTTCCTCTTCTATTCCCTCATCTAAGTCGTTAATGAAGATATTGAACAGTACTGGGCCTAAGACGGAACCTTGAAAATATATTAGTGTTGTCACATAACTCAAGTAGGAAGATGCTGAGACTCAGTTCTTGGGAAACCTCGGTTCTTGGGAAATCTTGAGAAATGTAAAGTCCTAAACTTGAAGCAAAATATCTTGAGCATATGGCCTAGGATTGAAAGACCGTTGCTTCAGACACTGGATTTCTGTTGCTTATCAGAATACAGATAATTCCTGATTTATGAGCACCATTGAGCCCAAAATTTCAGTTGCTAAGCAAGTTATTAAGTGAGTTTAGCCTCGTTTCATGACCTTTCTTACCACTGTTGTTAAGGGAATCACTGCAGTTGTTAAGTTAGAAACATGGTTGTTAAGTGAATCTGGTTTCCCCCATTGATTTTGCTGGTCAGAAGTTTGCAAATGAAGGGTTGTAAGTTGAGGACTAGCTATAGCAAATAATAAAAAAGACAGAGGGAAAGAAAGTAGGTATTTTAACTTATTTTTAGAAAGAGTGGCTCCACCTATTGTTTGCTTCAGCCCTGTCCATTAGTATTTCTCAAAATATTACTGAGGGAATATTCTTGCATCCACAAAATATAGTTTCCTGCCTGGTAGACTTAGGCTGTCCGCTGATGTGGGTCAACTGTGAAATCTTGCATTAATCTTGCAATTTTTCCACTTGACCAAAATTAAACTCTTTGTGGCCAACAATAGACCTTCCTACTGTTTTAGGTGCAGAATTAGTCATTGCTGGCCACTGCAGAAGATCTGTTGATGCGGGACTCATATTTGACTGAAAAATGAGGCCCATTTCATCCTAACGGTTGTATGTCTCTTCTGTCTTCCTGCAGAACATGGCCAGTGTCTCCTCCTTTGGCAAGTACACCCACGCCATCGTCCGCTGCATTCCTTCCTCCTTTGCCACAGCGGAGACCACAGCGGATGGATCTGACAGTGGGGCTGATCCGGTGGACCTAGCCAAGGCTCACCGACAGTACGGGGTCTACACTGGCATACTGCGCCAGAAGCTAGGGCTGCAAGTCATCGAACTGGCGGCAGACGAGGGCTTCCCCTATGCCACACTGGTGGGGGATCTGGCAGTCATCCAGGGAGATACTGTGCTCCTCACTCGGCCATGGATGCCCACGCGGCGAGATGAGGTAATGTCAAATTTAAATCTGTCAGGGATGTTGGTTCTCTTGCAAATACCTCGGTTGAGGGGAAGTTTGTTTTCCAGAATAGCACTAGCATTAGCAATTGCACTGCTTATATACCGCTTCACAGTGCTTTTACAGCCCTCTCTAAGTGGCTTACAGAAACGGCATATTGTCCCCAACAATCTGGCTCCCCATTTTACCGACCTCGGAAGGATGGAAGGCTGAGTCTCAACCTTGAGCCTGGTGAGATTCGAACTGCCAAATTGCAGACAGCCGGCAGTCAGCAGAAGTATCCTGCAGTACTGCATTCTAACCACTGCTCCATCCTGCCTTATAGAGGCCGTTGTGAAGTGTCTTTGGCAACCAAATTGTACAAATTTGGTTGGGTGTATAAATTTTTCACTTAGGTTTATGAAGCTGGCATTCAATAACCTCTTACCAATGGAAGGTTTCATTCATTTTGTATATAACTTCTATTAAGGATTTGGATTGCAGTAGTAAAGACTAAACTAAACAGACTAAACTTAAATAAAGAGAAGAGATTAGAAAGAAGAAAAAGGGCAAGTAACAAGAAAAAGAAAGAATGGAATGGAATAGAATAGAATTCTTTATTGGCCAAGTGTGATTGGAGTCACAAAGAATTTGTTTCTGGTGCATAAGCTCTCAGTGTACATAAATTTGTAAGTGATAAACCATGATCATAGTCATCATAAAAATACATTCATCATAAATCATGATACAACACTTAGTGATAGTCATAGGATACTAAATAAGCAATCAACATAAACATACTAGGAAACTAAATAAAACAACATAAAGTGTAAAGATACAAGCAACAAAGTTTTAGTCATGAGTAGAAAAGAAAAAAGATAATAGGAAAGGTGAGAATAATAATAATAATAATACAGCCTTACTAAACAGTTTGATTGTTGTGGGAATTGTTTAGCAGAATGATGGCATGGGAGGGTGGAAACTCTCCTTGTGTCTATTTGTTCTGGTGTGCGATGCTTTATAGCATCATTTTGAGGGTAGAAGTTGAAACAATTTATGTCCGGGATGTGAGGGGTCTGTAGAGATTTTCACAGCCCTCTTTTTGACTCATGCAGTATACAGGTCCTCAATAGAAGGCAGGTTGGTAGCAATATATATTTTGAATATATATAGAAAAGATGTGAAGAAGCGACTTTCAGTCTTTATTACAGGTACAGAATTTTTAGTAATTCTTCACTTTCATTAGGTTAGAAATAAGATTTAATGGTTAAGTTTGTAAACTCTTCATAAAGCTCATAAACACTTCCTAAAGTTAGAAACAGATGTCTCTTCATCTCACACCCCATCCTTTATAAGCATAAAAGATCAACTTTTAAATTATTTAAGCTATAATTAAATTTACTCATGTAAATTGTTTTAACCTTGATCAAATAAGTCAACTTTATACTCTTTCCTTTTAATTCTAACAATTTTAACCTTTAGTTCATGCAAATATTGTCATAGAAACCAGCAAGGTTTCCTTCTTGAAAAACCTCACAGCTGGATAATTTGTGGTTGCTAAACTTAGGAACGCAGGGGAAAAAAACGTGTCAGCAAAACTAAGACCTGATTTAGCCTATTAAATTCTTCCAACTATTTTTTTTTATCTATAGTAAACTTTTTCTTTCTTTCTTTTAAAATCAAAGTAAGCAAACACTGGTAAAGGAACTACAGTGCATATTTTGCAAGGATGCCTTTATTGATGTTGGTAGTCCCTGACTTAGAACCACAATTGAGCCCAAAATTTCTGTTGCTGAGAGAAATATTTGTTAAGTGAATTTTGCCCCACTTTATGAGCTTTCTTGCTACACTTATTAAATGAATGATTGCCATTGTTAAGTTAGTAACATGGTTGTTAAGGGAATTTGGCTTCCCCATTGAAGGTCGCAAAAGGTGATCCCTTTCGTTGCATACAGCTGTCCACCGCTAATATACACCACATAAACATGACAAAATAAATGAATACAAAATTATGCCTATGCCCACATATATTATATGACACTGAGAAACAACACTGGGATGGTAGAAGGTTCCTCCCCTAAGCATGGGTTGGATTAGGAAACCTTCGAGGTTCCCTTTCAGCCCTATGATTTAATCTACTCCAAGGATATTATGTGGTGGCTCAGTGGCTAAGACGCTGAGCTTGCCGATCAGAAAGGTTGGCAGTTCGGCAGTTCGAATCCCGAGCGCTGTGTAATGGAGTGAGCTCCTGTTTACTTGTCCCAGTTCTGGACAACCTAGCAGTTCGAAAGCATGTAAAAAATACAAGTAGAAAAATAGGGACCACCTTTGATGGGAAGGTAACAGTGTTCCGTGCGCCTTCGGCATTTAGTCATGCCAGCCACATGACCACGGAGGTGTCTTCGGACAGTGCTGGCTCTTCAGCTTTGTAATGGAGATCAGCACTGCCCCCTAGAGCCAGAAATGACTAGCCGAAGAGCTAGCTTTTGAACTGGTAGGTTGGCAGAAGCTGGGACAAGTAACGCGGCGCTAGGGATTCGAACCGCCAGACTGCGACCTTTCTGATAGACAAGCTCAGCGTCTTAGCCACTGAACCACCATGTCCCTATGCACCACATAAACATGACAAAATAAATGAATACAAAAGTATGCCGATGCCCACACATATATTATATGACACATAAAAACAACACTGGGAATGGTAGAGGGCTCCTGCCCTAAGCATGGGGCTGGTCTAGGAGATCTTCGAGGTCCCTTTCAGCCCTATGATTTAGTCTACTCCAAAGATATTACCAAGAGTTGTTGGTGTGTGTGTGTGTTTACCAACTAACTACAGCTCTTGTAACCACTGATAATTTTATCCTGCTAGTTTGGCCTTGGAGAGATGTAGGCTGGAAATCACCCTGGAGAAGGTTGATCTAACTGACGGTGTCAGAAGTAGGTCCCATATGTTCTGCTGTAGAAGGCTCTGGGATTAATTTCACCCTTGTGTTTCTGCAGTGCAGTTTGGTTGCCTTGGCAATCGGGATTCTGTCTTGCCTTCCCTTCCCGGCCCATCTTCCTCCTCCTCCTCCTCCTCCTCCTCCTTATAGGTGACTGCTGATGCCCAACCCACCCAGATACATTTCACAAGTTGCATCTCATTCTTGTCTCTTCACGCTGAGGGCCCTGAAGGAGTGGATTGATTTGGTCTGAAAGGAAAAGGAATTCTTTTTACAGCGGTAGATACATAGTGGGTAACCTTAATGCCATCTTCTTCTTCAGTAGAAGCTCCATGTGAAGAGATCTGAAGTGGATACCACTTCATGTGAGAAACACAATGTTTGTTTTCTGAATGGCTTTTTGGGCTGAACAGCCCTAAGCAGGCACAGAATAAAATGCCCTTCCCTGTTGGCAAGACATATTTCCTGAAAATGCTTCTGAATCTCATGTCAAAAACAAAATGTCAAAATGACCCTCCTATCAGCACATTTTTAGAAAAATTACAGTTGCCAATCCATCCAACCATCTGTTTTCCTGTCAATCAAGCCATCCTTCTATATCTCAGTGATTCTCAACTTTAGCCATTTTTAAGATATGTGGACCTGAACTCTCAGAATTCCCCAGACAGCATAGGGAATTCTGGGAGTTGATGTCCACATATCTTCAAATTGCCAAGATTAAGAAACTGATTTCACTAGCCACCAAGTGGGACATCTATCCAGCTGTCTACTGCTTCCATCAATTCTAGCATCTAGAATAGAATAGAATAACAGAGTTGGAAGGGACCTTGGAGGTCTTCTAGTCCAACCCCCTGCCTAGACAGGAAACCCTACATCACTTCAGACAAATGGATATCCAACATCTTTTTTAAAACTTCCGGTGTTGGAGCATTCACAACTTCCGCAACTCTTTCCACTGAATAATTGTTGTAACTGTCAGGAAATGTCTCCTTAGTTCTAGGTTGCTTCTCTCCTTGATTAGTTTCCACCCATTGCTTCTTGTCCTGCCCTCAGATGCTTTGGAGAATAGCTTGACTCCCTCTTCTTTGTGGCAGCCCCTGGGATATTGGAACACTGCTATCATGTCTCCCCTAATCTTTCTTTTCATCAGACTAGACATACCCAAGTCCAGCAACCGTTCTTCATATGTTTTAGCCTCCAGTCCCCAAATCATCTTGCTTGCTCTTCTCTGCACTCTTTCTAGAGTCGTGATGACGAATCTATGGCATGCGTGAAACAAGTGGCATACAGAGCCATTTGTGTCGGCACGCAAGCTGCAGGCAAACTTGTGTCTCACAGCTGATTTTCGGCTGGTTTGAGGCTTTTTTTGGCCTCCCAAAGGCTTGAGGGAGGCTTCTGCAGGCGTTGCAGGCCGAAAACTAGCCCCATTTTGTCACTTCCTATTTTTCCGAAAATACCAGAAATGATGAAACGGGGCTAGTTTTCGGCCTGCAAAGCCTGCAGAAGCCTTCCTCAAGCCTCTGGGAGGTCGAAAAAGGCCTCAAACCGGCCGAAAATCAGCTGAGGTGCAGTGCTGGTAAGGGGGCAGTAGGTGGGGATTGTCATGCATGCATAGGGGGTGTGGAGGGTGCACGCATTGCCTTTTGGGTGCAGGCACGCGCATGCGAGCATGCAAGCGCATGCACAATTTTTGGCACAGGAGCCCAGAAAGGTTAGCCACCACTGTTCTACAGTCTCCACATCTTTTTTACATCGTGGCGAAACAAAATTGAACACAGTACTCCAAATGGAAGATCTACATTGGCCACTTTATGCATACTACAGGTAGTCCTGAACTTACAACAGTCAGTTTAGTGACTGTTCAAAGTCACAATGGCACTGAAAAAAGTGACTTATGACCAGTGTTCACACTAAGGGCCGTCCTAAGCATCCCCATGGTCACGTGACTTACATTTGGATGCTTGACAACTGACTTGTTTATGGTGGTTGCAGTGTCTTGTGGACATGTTATCATTTTGGGGTGACCTTGTGATGAACAAAGTCAATGGGGAAACCAGATTCATGTAGCAACCGCGTTACTAATTGAACAACTACAGTGATCCACTTAACAACTGTGAGGAGAAAAATCATAAAATGGGGCAGAACCCACTTGACAAATTTTTCACTTAGTGACATAAATGTTGGCCTCAATTATGGTCATATGTTGAGGACTACCTGTACACAATCATGCCCAGGAAGAGGATGGGTGTATGTTATCATTTGTACATCCAAAGTGATATAAAGCAGAATGCTGTGCGATTTCAGGATTATAGGAAGCAAGTAAGTCCTCTTGAAATGTGTTGTCCCTACCCAGGGTGGTATTCAAATTTTTTTACTACCGGTTCTGTGGGCCTGGCTTGGTGAGGATAGCTTGGTGGGTGTGGAAGGGGAAAGTTACTGCAAAATCCCCATTCCCTCCTCACCCCACTAGCCTGCTTTCCAGCTCCGTTCTCCTGTGCAGGGCAACAAAAGAAAACCCAGCCAATCAGCTGGAACTTGGAAGGCAGAGAATAGATGGGGGCGGGGCCAGTCAGAGGTAATATTTGCTGGTTCTCCGAAATACTCAAAATTTCCACTACCGGTTCTCCAGAACTGTCCAGAACCGGCTGAATGCCACCTCTGGTCCCTATTCTAAGAGTCTCCCGTATTTTGGGAAGAATAGCATTGTGGAAGTATGTCCTGAGTAGATAACCATCAGGAGAAACCTGCCCATTTCTCAAATAGGAGGCCAGTCAAGCATGGCTGGAAGAAAAGAGCCATTTTGAGAACCAAGTGGTGACTTTCTTCCCTGCCCCAGTTTTTTCTCCCCCCCACCGCCAAGGCTTCTTCACTCCCTATACCTCCATCCTTTTTATTTTCTAAAACTGCTTATGTTATGTTTCAGGAAATAAAAATGGGATACTTGGTTGAATATTTCCTTGGATATATTTTGATTTGATTTGATTTATGATTTATGTTCTTTCTGTAGCTGCCCATCTCAACCAATGGCTGTGGTTAGGGTAGGATTCCAAACCTATGAAAACAATTTAAAACCATAAGAACATTTAAAACAGTGAAAAACATCCGAAATAATGCAAGCAGCCAAGAGAAATAACTAGCTAATAGTAAAGCCAATAAAATGGGACTCACTCAGGTATACTGCCAAGTTTTTTAAGCTTTTCGAAAGGCCAGCAGGGTTGAGGATTTTGCTTTGGGCAGGCAGCCTTTTCCATTTTGGTTTCAGATTCACTTAATTATTACATAACCTTAAAAGCAGCAGTATACCAAGGGGAATGCCAGGTGCTGGATTAGTGTCCATAAGCCAGAGGTGGTATTCAGCAAGTTTTGACCAGTTCTGGAGAACCAGTAGTGGAAATTTTGAGTAGTTCAGAGAACCAGCAAATCCCACCTCTGACTGGCCCCGCCCCCATCTATTCTCTGCCTCCCGAGTCCCAGCTGATTGGCTGGGTCTTCTTTTGTTTCCTTGCACAGGAGAACGGAGCTGGAAAGCAGGTTAGTGGGGTGGGGAGGGAATGGGATTTTGCAGTATCCTTCCCCTACCATGCCCACCAAGCC